TATGCTAGTCTAGTAAATTTGTTTTTGGCCAGAGTGGACTCACTTACAACCAAAGACTACTGAGACTAAATTTAACTAGCATGAGCTATCGTTTCTTATGTAATGACATGGAAGAAACTTTCAAATGCATTAACAATCTTTATAATTGTAGTTGCAACCCTTTTGTTTCCTCATAAAATACCATTCAGTATTTTATCTATCAACACCTTTGTCAGAATGATGTCATCTGCACAGCCATTATATTTATTATTGTAATTACAGACCATTAAGTAGTTAATCTGAGTTGTAATAGCATGCGTGTTAATATGGCTACTTCTTTATATTAATATATGATTATATATTTAGTTAGTATTTATTCCTCCAATATGACTCCAACTTAACAACATGCGATCATGCTTATAAATAGAAAAAAATGTTTTGTAAGACAGATGTCAAAAAAAAACTTTTCTAATATGGAATTCACAAATTTGTAGAATAGTCTACCATCTGAAATAGTGTTCAACATCTGTCACGACATTAAAAAAACATCTAGATGCATCTTGGGTTCATCAAATGTACAATTGCATATAAACAATTAGACCAACACAATTAGATACAATAGAATAAAAGGTTGATAGGCTTTTTTATATACCCAATTATAAAAACACTTTTCTTCAGTGTTCCATAACTGAGAAAAATATTTTATGTCTGGCTAACTCATTCAATTGAGCATGAGATCTTAATCTCATGCTAATTTGAATCTCGTAATCTTGGGGTAAATATTTACTTAGAGCCTCAAGTTGTTTATCTTCCTTAATGTCATATTTAAATAAGAAAATATTATCATAGAAACCTTTCCAAACCACGCAAACTTTAAAATTCACTTTTTTTTACTAACCAATAATTAAACTCTACTTGCAATAAAAAGCGATTACATTAAACATTAAGAAATGAAACTCAATAATTTTTAGACTAATATTTTCAGTTAAAAAAAAAAATAATCTCAAAAAAGAAAGTTAGTCTGAAGTTTTTTTATATCATAAATTTATTTGTGATTATTTTTTAGCTGATGTACCGTTAAACTGAAGGTGGTAATAAAGTTTACAAAATTTGCTCTGGCTGAATTTTTTAATGAAAAAACAATATGTGTGCTTCGAATGTAATCTGTTTTTCATGGTGTTTCAATGAAAGTTTGGTGTATTGGCCAAATCATCTTGCCTTTAAGCTGCCATACGTAAAGTCACGCTTTTAAAAGTAACTGAAAGCAGCTGAAAATAAGAATTTTTTGGTAATTGTCTTATTTGCAATATTGTTTTTGTTTTATTTACAGTATTGTCTTTGTTTTTTTATCTAAACAGCTATGTTTGACTCAAATATAGTAAATGTTGATTGTTTAGTATTGTTTCATCTCTTCTTTATACTTTTTTTTTGACAGTTATGAGACTGCCTTAGAACGGAATTATCTGTGCCTCCAGCTTAAAAAGATGCAGGTTACAAAAAAAGTGACACTGATGAGATTGTCTCTCAGTTTCTCAAAGATTGAATAAATCTTTAGTGTTTTAGGGTTAAGTGATTCCATCAGAGCTTAGCTTGACTATCTCTTTCGATTTATTGAATTTATTTGCCAGTTATAGAGGAAAAAAGATCTTCTAAACCTAGAAGAAAAATTATGATACCTTATGAATCAATAGTATATATCAGTGAATTGATATTAGTTAATAGTTTTTGGAAACAGTACCATGTACTATTAAAGTTTCTAATTTTTAAAATGTATGATACATTTATATGAAACATACAAACAAATGATACAATATGATACGTGATTGACTATAATTATGTTGAATATCAGAATGTTTTATATAAATGCTTATTACATTTTATTGTGATTTTTATCTTTTATGCCCAGTTAGCAGTGTATTTTGTGTAGCAATGACTACTAACCTCAGGTATCTATGACATCTGTAGGGTGCATTCACCGCTACAGATGTCATAATCTATTTATAACCAATTGCTTTTACTCTTCCATAATGTCATATTTTAATAAAAATCACATTATGGAAAAATAGGAACCATTATACTTTTAGTAGAACCAATTATATTACATTTGTTTTCTTATTTTAGATGAACTTTCTTACTTCGGTTGGAGGAGATGAGAAACAACTTACAGCGGCAATCTTAATACAGCTAATGGCCAAAGAAGTATGTTTTTCATACTAAGTGTATGGAATGAAACAAAAACGTCCTGCAAGGTCGTTATAGGTAAAGCACAATATTTGTATTCTACATCCCATTTCCTTTTAATAAATAAATATTTTAATAAAAGCTAATTATTTTACAATATTTATACGTGAAAAGTTATATATTTCAAAATTATATTGTGATGATATTTTAAAAAACATTTTGTAGAGTTGCGTTTAGTCATTTATCGTTGTATTCGTTCATTTCGAAATCGCTACTGACAAAAGTATTAAAGAAAAAATTGGCAGCTTTCTGGCGACGGCCATTAATAGAGATTACGGAAGAAAAATAGAACCGTAACTGAGCAACACCCAATATTGAGCAATGAAATAAGTATCGCCAATATAATGAAAGTCGATGCCCACTATCTCATAGTGAGAGTATAATACAGTAGTTATATATATATATATACATATTTTTTGTACGTGTATTTAAATAACATTGATTTTGTTATATTTTGGTTTTGGAAAACTCTATAACTCTTTTTTTCATTTGTATCTAATTCATATAACTTCAAATAAATTTAATGATTTCGAATTTTTTTTTCTTAAAGCGTGTTCTATGATTATTGTCATCTCCTAGACTATAACCTGTTAAACTCAAAAGAATAATGCAGCCTAGTACTATAGTATCACTTAAACAAGAAAACTGTTATAAATTTAAATTGTTACAAATTTGTAGAAGGCAATATTTTTTATTATTTTTTAATAATAAAAATTTAATCGAAAATACTCAATATATTGCCTTAATTTAGTTATATATATGTCATATATATCAGGGTAATATTGTAAACTATATTGGCCAGTATTATATCCCCATTATTGGCGCGATATTATTTACAATATTGGCGCAATACTATAATCTATATCGGGCCAATGTTGCAATATGAACATTTTGCCAATACTGACTTAACAGTATTGGCGCAATATTATATCGCCAATATTGGCGCAATATTATATCGCCAATATTGGCGCAATATTATATCGCCAATATTGGCGCAATATTGTAGCGCCAATATTAGCCAATATTGGCAAAATGTTCACATTGCAACATTAGCCCGATATAGTTTACAATATTGCGCCAAATTCGTCTATCCTTGAAGATTTAGCTCTTAAGTACTCAAAGCTTCATCAGCAGGGCCGTCCCGAAGAGATTTCAAAGAAGGAGGGGGGGGGTGACATGTCTGTTTTTTGCCGACTAAAGCCAAAAAACATTTTTTTGACCACTAACTTATCTTAAAATTCCCGACTGCCAACAATAGATCCAATTTTTCCAATTCCATTGTCGACTAATAAAATTCGTAAGGGGGCTACCCACCTCTACGTCCCCCCCCCCTCCTCCTCCTCAGGACAGCCCGGTTCATCAGAGATCTTTATAATTAATTTTTTTTATCGGAGATTAGTAAATTTTTTTTTTCTCTTTATATGCCAAAAGAACTTCAGAGATTTTTTCAACTTTTGTATAAAATGTTATTATGATTGACTCTTTTCATTATAGCTAGTGATAAATAATAAATTATTAAAAATAATTAAAAAAAAAAAATTTTAATGCTTTTTTCTATTAATTATTTTTGTTTTAGATGCCCAAAGAATATCTAACGGTCTTGTCACAAAGCAATGTGAAAGAGTCTTTAAATATTAGGCTTACGCCTTCTTCTTCTCTTGCTTTAAAAGCAAATGCTCTTTTATTTATATATACCTATGAAACCAATGCCACAACCGTTAAATTGTACAGCAGAACAAAAGTTACTATTACTTTAATGTTCAAAATGTAAGAATGAAAATATTTCCATATTGAAATATTCATACGCTAGTTTATGAATGCAGTAAACCAATATTTGTTCGTTTTTTTCATAAACTTTCAGAAATTTATACTAGTTTATAGGCAATATATTCTACTTCTTTTGGAGCTGATTCAAAATAAAATTCTACTGCTTGCTACAGGTAGGTGGCCAAACTAAACCAGTCTCTGCCAAACTCGTGGCTCGAGTTTTAAAGGTGTTTAATGTTAAACTTTAAAATATTTAAAATTTTAAGTTTATTTTTTTTTAATTTGTAGGGTAAAATTTTCAAAAATATTTAAGAGGTTTTGAAATATGTAGTCAAGACAGTAAAGACCAAGATTAAGACTAAGACCAAGACAATATGACTCAATTACAAATACGTTAAAAAGGCTTAAAATTTTAAGGCCAATACCAAGAACAAGGAATCAAGTCAACCCAAGACCAATACTTTGAAAATTTTTACAAAACCATAAGCAGTAATTAGAAGACTCATGCTCACTCATTCATGTACACTATTTAACTATTATGTGATCTATCAAATTACCATACATAGGCATTACTTTATAATAAATCGTAATTACGCATGTATAATATGATTATGTTATCGCAAACTGTTTAGAGCACAGTTGCAGTCTACTAAAGATATCTTTAATAATAACAGAAATCTAACAGGTTTCTGTTATTATTAAAACAAAATGTACCAATAAAAAACGACGCAAGATCATCACACTGTGAAATTAACAATCGCACACAACCTTAGCCTTAACCCTGGCAAAAGCAAACTATGCTTTTTTTAACTATAATAGCCACATTTAATTGGAAAAAAAAAAGTCAAAGTAACGTTTACGAATTCTATTTAAGTACCTTATGTAAAAAATAAAATAGGCACTTATGTATTAATTAAATAACAGTTACCGTAGAACGGGGTGACTTTGATACGCGGGGTGACTTTGATAATTTCGTCTGTTAGTTACAAAAATTATAATTTGAATGTGAAATTGCACAATTAGAGACTATTTTTTTTTTTTTTATTCTTGTACATAATTATATTCTGCTAATATTTTTGAAATTTTAATGATTGTGAAGTGATTCTAAATTGTGCAAATGTGTTAGGAATAACATGACTATAACAAAAAAATAACGATTTTTACACGTACCAAAAAATGCCAAAAAATCTTGTGATTTTAATTTTTTTGAAATTTTTTTTTTTCTAAAAATCTATACTTAGATGTTCAAGTGGTATTTTCCAGTTATAATACCACTGGAATATACCACATATATATGTTTTTTTTTTTTTTGGATATCTTTTTAATTTTGAATTGAGTTAACAACTAAAGGATATTATAAGTACATAATATTTATATGCAATTAGTATTATTTTTTTGTTAGTGTTATTTTATAACTGCTAATTACTATAACAATGTTATTGATATATTATTTTTCTGTGTTTAGCATATTAACATCAAATTTATTTTTGTTTTTTCTTTGTCCATTCTGTAGATATATTCGATAACCAAACTTGTTGTTTAAATTTATAATTTTACCAGTAAATCTTATAAGTTTATTAATATGTTGTGTTCTAATTTAGTAAAAGTCAAAAAGAAAGTATTAGCGACACTGTAAAGAGGGTTAAATCAATAAGCCATTAAGAAATAATAGACTATCAAAGTCACCCCAAACGACGGGGTGAGATTGATAACATTTTGGATTAAAAATATATATATATATATATATATATATATTTTTTTTTTTTTTTAATGTTTTTAAAATATATAATACTAAAAATATATCACAATTTTATAGAATACAAAAAATATGATTGTAGGGTATCATTAATATTAAAAGAACGCGGGAAACTTGCAGAAGACCAGATGGTCTTGTCATCAAGAAACCGCTTGTACTTGTAATATTTTTTGTATTTTCGTTTTACAATGTATCAAATTTCACAAAATACTTCATTTTATATTAGGTTCACATATAATAAAATGTAGAAATAAAAAATTGGTAAATACTGTTTGTAGTACACATAATACACATAAATATATTATTAAGCATAAATATAATTATTATTGACTTATATTGATTTTTTATATTAATATATATTATTGAAGTTTTTGGGATTTTGTTTTCAATTATAATTTTGGTTTTACTTTCAGTTTTAGTTTAGTGAAAGTTTAAATAATTGCTGATATTTAAAACAAACTTTTTTAGTAAGATTTTCAAACAATTTATGTTATCTAATTTTGTAATAATGGCATTTTTGGATATCAGTTTATTATAAAGATAGGGCCTGCGAAACGAAATTGTGAAACGCGACAGTTTTGTTTTTCTGAATGGTACATTAAAGTTTCCTACTTCTCTAGTGTCATATCTATTTTTATTGCTTTTAAAAAATTCATTTAAGAAATGTGGTGGGACAAGCCCGAGTTTAAATTTTAGCATGAAGAGTAAGTTTTGGTAAATGTTAATTCTATAGACGTTTAGTGCATTTAGGAGTTTAAACAAAGGTTCAGCATGAGTGAGTTTATCTTTTTTATAGACAATTCTAATGGCATGTTTTTGATGTTGATAAAGTGATTTTAAATTAGATTTATGGGTACTGGCCCATGCTATATTACCATATGTATAATAGGTATGTATAAATGAAAAATAAAGATGTTTTAGATTTTCTTGGGATAACATTGGCCTAGCTTTGTATAGCACGCCAATGTTTTTGGTTATTTTAGTATTTAAATAGTCAATATGGGCTTTCCATGAAATATTTTGATCAATAAGTAAACCTAGGAATTTAGTTGTTGTGGTTCTTTCGATATTTTTGTTTTTTATTCTTAGCAATGGCAATATATTTGGTAGTTTTTTTCTTTTTTGATTTGGATGGAATAAGATGTAATTAGTTTTTTCTGTGTTTAAAGATAGTTTATTAGATTTTAGCCAATTATTAAGTTTTTCGAGTTCAATATTCATTGTTTCAAAAAGTTCTGTAATTGACGGGGAAGAATAAAATAAATTAGTGTCATCTGCAAACATTATGACATCAAGTTTGTTTGAGGCTTTCGGAAGATCATTAATGTATATTAAAAACAGTAAGGGAGCTAGAATGGAACCTTGGGGAACGCCACATTTGATCTTTAGCATTTTTGAACAGATATTTTCATCAGTATTTAAACATTGTTGTCTGTTTAGCAAAAAGTTTTTAAACCAGAGTAATGCAACATTTTTTACGCCATATTTTTCATGATCAACAGTATCAAATGCTTTTGATAGATCTATAAAGATTCCTAGAACAAATTCATTATTATCAAATGAGTAGTTGATGCTGTTTACAAGATCTATGATTGCATGTTCGGTTGCATGTTGTTTTTGAAATCCAAACTGTTTTTTATTTAAGATGTTATTGTTTGTTAAATATATGTACAGTTTATTATAAATTATTCGTTCGAGAAGTTTTGAGAATACAGGAAGGATTGAGATTGGTCTATAGTTGTTTAGTAAATATGGTT